TGAAATGAACAAATCTAAGAGAGGTCTACCCAAGGTACATATACACCAAGTATCAAAGCATTCAGGCTTGTAGTTTTCAAGAAGAAGTCGAAAAAGTAAAACATTGACACGGACGACGACGACGGACGACGACGGACAATCACTCATATGATAAGCTCCGCTCGACAAAGTCGACAGCGGAGCTAAAAAAGTATTTATTTGTAGCGTTTTACTTGGAAGCGAGTTTTGACCTAGTTTAGTAAATTTTTGTATGGCTTCATTTTTTGCCGATCGTCGAAACATTTTTTTGGAAACGACCTTCTTTCTGGAAGTTCAAAAATTGTTGGCTACGATTTATCAAAGTAACTAATACTAGTATTGTGTTTTGAAATAGTTGGGTAAAGTTTATCGTGGCAATTTTTAAGTTTAGCGACTTTTCAAAATGGCGGCAATTTGTTTATTTTCGTGTTGATCGTGACGATATTTTTTAAATACAAGTATTGATTCGCTCCTATTTCTTATCTTTTAGGAATGCTGTGACACATATGTGGAAAATTCAACTTAAAAACATCCAGAAATAGTTCTTTGGTATGGAATTCTATGCCATGTATAACTATTACGAAATATGCTATCGATAAACACGCACACTCGGAGATGCACAAGAAGGCCATGTCATTTAATAGAAGTGGGAAGCAAAGAAAATCACGGCGTTCTCAAAAGCTGCAGATCACTGGGCTTCCATGAAAGTCCGAAGAATCAACATTACATAGAAATCACACAGCAGCAGATTCATTTAATCTTCTACATACATTTGTTAAAAAATAAAGACACATTTTCATCCATGCAAGCCTGTCATTATTGTTTTCTTTATCTTCAGACAAATGCTAATGATATGTAAATTATATGCAAATTAGCCGCCACTCTGATACATTTTTCTGGGGAGAACACTGAGTGAAATCTACTGCAAACCGCTTAATTTTTGCTGATAGGAATTTTCAAGACTTTTATGGCATTTGTGAAGACAAAATTTCACAAATGTCAATGAAAATACGTGTTATAGAATGCCTGAGGAATTTTCACTGACTGGCAAAGCTTACGACGTTTTGTCGCTAACAAAATTAATGTGGCTAAAGAGGCACTTCCAGTTAAGCCAATCTCACAACAAATTTACTTTCTGGATTAAAATTACAATGGATAACAAAGGATAGATTAACTTTGTAAATAACACAAACATTGAAACAATAGTGTCCCATGAATTTTTGGGCTTGGAAGGTTTCCCTTTAAAGGCCCAGGTATACTATAAATACGCCCCTAAACAATAGGGATTATTTCCTTGCTTGTCACGCTGTAGTAAACAGCTCCAGCCAAGCTCAGATAAAAACGCGTTTTCTCAAACTTACAGGTCGATTATGTCATGCCAAAGTGGATGTATGTGACTATAAATATCACAGCAGTGACTGTGTGTAGTATTTATGACAATAAATAGTGTACGAGCTGAGATTTTGGCGGATAAAACACGAACCGGGGAAAGGGACGCGCTACTACCAGTAATCTTGAATAATTAACTACTGTCAGTCAAAGTCACGTGATATTGGACCGCTGAAACAGGATGCGTCATAGGCTATGCAAGTGATTAACAACACTCATTAACATAGCCACACCTCCAATTCACACTTGCCCAGGGCAAGTGAATTGGGCCTTTAAGAGTATATCCATTAACACTCAAGTGCATTTGCTGGTATTATTGATTGATAACACTGACTGTACATAATAATGACTGTGATTAAAGACAGAATCAATGATGTAACACAGCTCACACAACTGCATCTTGCACACACATCATATAACTCACCTTTTCTAATAACAATTGTTTATTCATTGCCACACACTTTTTGCATGTGTCTTTCTGTTTCTCTAAATCTTTTTCTAGCGAGTCAATCCTTTGTCGTAACTGTACATTCGTCTGTGTGATAAAAGTAACAAATGTGTGTAACGTACAACATGCTGGCAAATGAATACCAACAAAAGTTCACAACTAAAAAATGCTGCCTGAAAATGAGAGTAGTCATTTTAATGGTTAACCTTTCCTGCCCTATTTTTGAAACAAACATGATTGGAACAAATATCTGAGGGAATCACCGACACATCACATGTGATCAATGAAAATTAGCTATTATGCAGTTGGAAATCACTAATCACCTCAAGATGGCAGATGAGTCAAAACACATATACAAGGTAGAATTTGATACCTGTCAACAAACAAGGTGCTCTCTCATTGGTCCAACTGTTAGAGTTAGCAATCCAATCAGGCACAATCTTGTAAATAACTTCACATTGACTGATATCTCATAAATGACCTAATGTAATGTTGTAAAACAGCTGTTCCAGCATGTTTGAGTGCGTGTGAAATGTCTCCATGACAGGAAAATTAGAATTAGACTTAGAAGCTACTGTTCATGAAAAATATTACATCTGCATTCAAAACTCACCCTAAGTAATTCATCAATTCTACTTTCTTTCTTCTGTAAGTCATTAGATACCTTGGTTTCTAAATGATGAATATCATGAATTGAAAGATCACTCTGAAAACCAAACCAAACAAAAATTGTCATACTGAAACATGTCCTTACATTGCTGGAAAGTGAAATGCATGGCATCATCAATTCAGCTACAAAAACAAATAAGAATTCTACAGAATCATTCTTGTTTTGTTACATTGTGGCTGTGGAATTAAGAGATCTGGATTTTCACCAATTTATCTTGATCTACTGAGGGAGTAAAGAGACACATAAATATTTACAAACCTGAGTTTCTACTGAATACATTTCAGTCATTCGCCTTTGAGAGAGATGGTGTGGTGAAAAATTACTGAGATCAACGCTATTGTCCGGAAAGTTGTTGCTATGGGGATAACTATTAGCAAGCGAATAACTGTTACTAGGAGGTGAATTTTGAAACTGCAAATAAGATAGAAACATGGAAGGTTATTATTCATTAATTATTTATTTATTCATTCATTCATTTATTTATTTATTCATTTACAGTATACAGGTTAGGTTGTGCTGACATACGTACCATATGAAAGCTACTGCTAGGTGACTTGGGATTGCCCATCATAACTGGATTCCTACTGGGGCTTGTTGAAGAATGCTGTGAACAAACATACACACTATATATATATAGAACAAACAAATTAAGCTGTATTTATAATTATAGTTTTATCTACAAATGCTGGGGAGGGGGGGGGGGTAATTATCAGATGTCAATTGACATACTGTAGAATATTTTATTTTCACTTGGAAATAATTTTTACAATTTTCGCTAAAGGAATGATTCAGTGAAAATAAAAACCAGAGAATATATTTTTTTTCCTATATTTTATTTTCAACTTGTCAAAAATCAGTGAAAATAAATAACATACAAACACCAAAAATGTTTTTTGGGCAAAAATTAATTCTAGCTAAAATAAAGTATTTTACAGTTGTTGGCCAACTTGTTAACTGAGTGAGTGTATATACGACATGTGCAGTAACTTTTCAATATTATGACCTGATTATACATCTAGGTCTACATTCTCAAATTAAAGAAATATGAAATAACAATTTATATTGTACATACCCTAAAATATTCATTAATTTTCTTTGCTTGACCTACAAAATAACATTAGGATTTATTTAGACATTTGTTTCTCTAATTGTCAACAGTTTGTAGATATACTAGTAGTTCCCTACGTAACTACCAGTGTCCTTTCTTGAAAAGATTCCCAGAAAAGCCTGTATTGTGAGCAAATTAAGCTAGGGATGATGCTTGTTATATTACACGTATGGTTGCATTCACTCACTATGAACTTTACTTTGACTTACCTGCAGCTGTGTGGTCAAAATTATCTGCCCTTCTCTTTCGTTTCCTTTCTGAACCAGGTCTCTTTTCTGGTGTCTGCAAAGATATATCATATCATAATTACAATGTGCAATAAGTGCCAATTACCTTTTTAGATCTAAAATTGATACACAGTAGTTACGTGTACATGCGTTTGTGTACTGGCTAATTGCCCTTCAACACCCTCAGCTGTGCAAGTACCCTAATGTGCTGGATGTAGCTACCACTACATTAATAAATGGAGCCCTATCCACTGTAACTAAGACAGGCAGGAATACAAAGTACCAAAACAACAGATTTTTGCGCTACTGTGGTGAGAAAGTTGGTTACCGAGTGGTAAGTGAAAAGGTTAATCCAAAAAATCATTGCAAGATCTTGTTTGTGGTGCTGGCAATCTTGTGGGACCATTACATAGCTCTGTCTTACCATGGATAACCTCCATGGTCTTACAGAATGTACATTATGGTACTCCGATTGTGTATATCATTTATGTGAACAATAGAGGGATTATCCACCTTCAGAGGAAGACAATAGATGTTGACAAATGTTGCCAAATTCTATTGTCTTTCACAACAGGAAATTGGGCACATAACAAGCAAGATAAACACAGACAAAAGAATGATTGCAAACATGTTGTTGGGCTTCAGTAATTCTCAAAGACTTTGAGAATAAAGTGCACATAAACATAACACTACATGATTGACATTCTAATAGGATATTTTACCACAGTCGCTCTAGGCTCTATCAGTAATAGAGAGACTGTCAATCTTGCAATCATTCTCAAGGTACATTGTTCTAAGTGTGAGAACTTTTTTTAACTGAACAATAGCACATTGACTTTACAGACCAGTCCTGATATGTTCATTGTTTGAGGGGTGCGAGACATTTCTATAGAGGGAATGGATTATAAGGCTTTTGTTTCACTCTGATAACTGTTCAAGAAAAACAACAAACTTTCAGACACACAAATCTTATTATTGTAATAAAAATACATCAACATCAGCAAAAATGAGTCATCAACTGCACACTGGGTTAACACGTCACCTAGTGACTCTGTATTTTTTATATTTAAATTGGCTATCATAAAGGCTTTCAGCAGACAATGTGTTTAAATTTGTCTTGTTTGGCAAAACTGAAACAAGTTAATATGCCTGGCATAACAAAATACAGAGTTTAGATTGTGGTGAATGTGAATGGGACCTTAACAAACTTAGCAACATCTAAACCAGTGAATATTATTCTTTTTTACCATATAGAGATGGGGAGAAAGGCGACATTCATATGACTGAAATGTAAAATTCATACTACCAAAGCACTGTTACGTAACTACATGTAGAAACACTACTGATTACACTTGTTGGAAAACACAAAATATATACAATAAAAAAAATAGGAGATAAAGCTGAGCACTTGACTTACATCGATATCACTATTTGAACCTTGACTGGTATGACTAAGATTAGAATCTTCTTTGGAGTAAAGAGAATTTCCATCCCGCATGGAACTCCTACTTGTACCAGAACCTAAAAATCTTGCTTCTAATAGTTCCAGTTTCTGTGGATCAAAGTTCCTTAGCTCCTCCATGCTAAGATTTAAATAATATAATTCAACTTGATAGTCACGCTAAGTCTAAAAAAGAAATAATTTACATTGAAGAATTAGTCGATTTGATGTTTGTAGTTACATGTACCAACATGACTAGTTTTTATATAATTATCATTCCCATTAAATATCCAGTAATATGAATAAAAGTTGAATATTCATAGTATAATATAAGGTAAAAAAAAGAAAGTGTATTCCTATTATGGTTTATATTCAATTATATATTAAACCCAATGGTGATTACTTTTACATACAATGCACATACAGTAACCACAGTTCCCCACCCGACTGCATAATTGCAACACAGAAAGCCCTAACCCTAACATGTGCTTTTAAAATAAAAAGATGCACATAACAGAACACTGCATGGAAATCAGTATACATCACAGAGGATTTGTGAAATATAAACATATTTGAATGAGTAATCAGTACCACAAACCATAGACCTTAAAAGACATTAAGGTCTATGCACAAACGTATTTGTTTCAAAATCTATTGTAATTTAGAAATGCTACATATAATACTTATTCTGAAAAAAACAGAGAATAACACACATTTGTAATTACCGATACATGTAATGAAAAGTTTAAAATTGCTGAAAACCACTTCCATTTTGTAAAAAAAGATTGATTTTTAAGAATCAACAATCACAAAATTTACAAACAGAAAATAATAATATGAATCTAGAAATTGCAGTATGGATTATTCACTGAACTGAACAATCAAGTTTAGAAATGTTTTTATTATCATTATTTTATTACACCAGGGGAATTTTCATGATTGAAATACTGACTAAATACAAGAATGTGTATTATTTTATCACTGTACAGTACAGATAATAAGTGCATACACTTCTTGCACAATCAAACATTGAATAAACCTGTAATCAAGCTGAGTGCAGTTTCAGCAATGCACAGCATGACCCATGTAAAATATTTCATAATTAAATGAAATATGCATACATAAAAATGCATAATCCCCAAGTAGTTAGTCCTAAAGGTTTTCCCCAAATATATTGCACCCATTATTTAACATTGTGGAATCCATACAAGAATACACTGCCGATACAGTTTTTTTTAAATAATTCAGAAAGGAATATCCAACCAAAGCAATTATTGTCAGTCAAAAATGTCCTTGCGCAAAAATTATTCATCTACGATGCTGGTAAACAACGTGGCAAAATAATTTGTTTACATTAGTCTTGTTTTGCATATAATGATAGCGGTGATAAAAAACAGATTTTGCCACCGAAAATTGACACAATGCGAGCAAATGCAGTCTATGAAAAACCAGACTGATGATAAAAAATACGTGACAATTGCATTACTACGGCCATAGAAAGTGATATGTTGAATACAAAGTTCATTTAAAGGATGACTGGTGAATGTAAATTACTCTATTGTCAACAATATTCAACATAAATAAAAGCTGGTCACTTTCTTGATGACAACATACCTCACAGCCGATCCGACAGTGGACAAACAAATCGAGAAACTCGGTCTTTAACGGTGGGAAGGAAGGCGAGTTGTATGTGTTATAGTCATCGATTTCGCATATGAACAACGTCGAATGCGATAGCTATCTTGTGGGATGTCCACACTTCACGTTTTCCAAGATGGCGCGTACCCATCTAGTGTCATGCCCCAAAGTACCCCCCACATTCACGACATAGCTGCACAGGCTACCGGTACTCAACTGAACACAAACACCGAAAATTGAATCTGATGAGCTGTTGACAGCATGGTCGCCCACTTTTTGAAAAGCAACGAAAATAATATGCAAATCTCACCTGCAACAATTTTCTTCAAATTCATTTGTTTTTTTCGCTCTTGGTGTATTTATCACAAATCACCTAGCCAAATGACGTCATCGTCGGAATTCATCGCGTGTTCGGTTGTTTCCGGAAACCGTTTCAGGGAAAAGTGGTATGCTCGTCAAATAAGCACAGCGAACCTAGTCTCATATATTCAAAATATTGTGTGAATTCTCCTTACAACAGAAGGTTATCCGAAGAAAAATATGAATTTTAAGTCTTATAAATGCACTTGGAAGAAATCGGTTCTAGTCGGTCATTTTCGGCATGTGGTAACCTTTTTTTTTCAACTTGTCAAGTTGAATCTAAATTTATCATCCAATCAGAGTTGAGTATCTGTGACCAGGAGTTTCCCGAGTATTTACTTCCGGGTATAAGTTGTGTCGTTAGTTGTTTGGACAAGCCCAGGTAAACATTTGACGTTATCACGCACACACATATATATGTATGCACAAATGGGTAAATTATAAGCGTTTTTGAACATAAATACAACATTAACCGACATTGTGTCGTGATGGAAATCGCATCACCGCCTTACATGGCTCGAGTTTAGGTGTACTTCCGGAGGTGCCAGCAATGGCAGCACTTGCATTTAATACACATCCGGCTTTGATTTCACTTTGTCGCTTACACAACACCTTTGGCGTGAATTTAAACATATTGTAAATTAGTTTATAGTATTACTGGTAAATTAATAATTGAATAAAAGTCATACAATTGTTTTTAAATGTATATTGTTGCCAAGAATCATAAAACCTATAGGCCCAACGTCACAGGTACAAAGTCTACATATACATGATAAAAATATATAACAGACAATGCACAAACTAACAAACATTTTTCTACATTTTGTGAACAAGACAATCGAGCCCACCTTTTCGGTAGTGTTCGCCACCACCCAGTAAATGCATCATTTATTGATCATCTAAATATTATGCAAAATGAGTTACTGTTATAAATTTGCATAAAGATTCACTTTTCCTCAAGGTACATCCAGAAGACTATTCCCGGCATTCCATTATCTGGTCAAATGGAACTACACTGTACTACATGTACGTATTAAGGCCAATAAAAATAAATCTTGTGTTTCCAGTAAACCAACCATGCCATCATATATTTTATGCAAATTAGCCTAAAGTTATCTAATTAGTTATGGTCATTCCACTAAATGCTAATTGTAATTCTTTATTTACAAAATTCCTTTGAAGTAGTATTAGACGACACTCAATATAATGTTGATACATTCTACATACATAAAAAATATATAAAGTGTTGTATTTTAATTTGTTATGCATGTTTAGGTCTTGGAACTAATACTGTAATACTAGTTATTTTCACTGGCATTTAATTTTGCTATTTTTGAGCAAATTCAGTGGAACAATGCTTTCTATTGTAATTTTTTAGGTTCATGTGAATCTAATTTAGCGGATTTTACTTGCCAGAAAAAATTAAAACATGTGAATAATTAACGCATTTACAGAATATGTAAACTGTCTTACTTTTACAAGTAAACATTTCTGTCAGTGAAAATATGTAGCAGGTAAAAAATTGAAATTGAACAATTTTAAGTAGTTATCATTTTTTTTTTTTTTTTTACTTTTCAGAGAGCTTTAAACATTGAACTGCAATGTCTTATGATAAAGAACTATTGCAGGAAGCATGTGATGACAGGTTATATGATGCTAGCAATGAAGTTGATATTCTTCCTTTGAGAGGGGTTGATTTAGAGTACCGGTATGGGGATTTAAATGACCAGACACTTGTGGAACAAGTCAAGGGTGAAAGTTTATTGTCTAATTCAGCTAATAGTGAAGGTACAAGTGTATATATATATATACAATACATTTATTATACTACTACATGTACAATCTGATTAAAGGCTGTGGTCATTTTGGTTGTGGAATTTCATGATCACCTCAAATTACATCTTACAAAATAACTGTACAAATCATGTACAGGCAATTCATCTCAAAAGGCGATTTTTTAACCAATTAGAGCACTCTTTGACACGATTTTTGATTGGTAGATGTTTCAAGATTTGAATGTGATTTGTGTAGGTAAATGGTCATATATAGTACTAGTTATATATTATATAAACAATATAATAACAAAAATCAGTATACGCATATAAGCTCTGACTAGGTGCTGGGTATGATTGAAAACTGTCAAGATTTAATAAGCATCATGAACGGTATTACCGATGAGGCTAAAAAATTCAAAAATTTGAAATATTTATTATATATATTTATTATGTTATTATAATCTTTCTTTTGCATGCATATGTAGCATTTATGTAATTATATTAATTTAAGCACATGGTTTTACCCAGAGATATAATTTTGAATTAACAATATGATGCAATTACCATAACATTAACATTTTTATGTAAATTTTTATCAATAGATATGGAACACAGCCTTGGCTCCCTGACTGGTACTGGTTGGCAGCAAATACCATATACTGGATTAAGTGGTAACCATGGTGATAGCATAGAAATTACAACTAATGCTGATGATGATAATGATGAAATAGAGAGATTAGTGAAAAAGGAAGAACTTCAAAAAAAAGCCATGGAAACAGAACGGTTTTTAAATGATTTAAAAAACAATAAAAAATTGAAAAATCATACTAGTATACCAAAAGGCAGTTTAGAAAACAAGACTCTATTGTGCAGAGGAGCAGCATCGACTGTTGCTTTGGAAAAAAACATGATGCTGAGTGCTGAAGATAAACATAAAACTCATCCCAAGAAAAAGAAGTGGAAAGTTGTAACTTCTGATGTGAATCTGGATATTGAGAATGAAGCGAGTAGTTCAAATGAATTCGACACTGATCAGAACTCAGGCTGGCATATTTCCCCAGTCAACGCCTGGTCTTCTTCATCATGGGAAAGTAACGTTACTGATGTTGTAAATCACAGTGACAAAGTTAAAAAGAAACAATTTACAGAGAAGGCATCTGCCCCTCTTGTTGACACTGTAGAATCTGATTCTGATTCAAAGGTCAAGGCTATAACACATTACAAACCACTTAAACCATTTGAAACGGGTGACAGTGATCACCCGTCAAACTGGAAGACCGATGGATGGTCAAGCGAAGAGGGATATTATCTGGTCACCTTGGAAACCAGTTCTTATGAATATTGTAGTATTCGGACAGAGTTTACTAACACCAATGTACAAATCAATCGGATTGAAAGATTGGAAAATCTGGATTTATGGGGGAAGTTTCAGTTTGAAAGGGAGCGCATGTCAAAGAACAGACCAATAGGTGAATTCAATTGTGGTTTTGTAGGCTATGCTCAAATTGATGACATGTATGATAGTTTTTCATGTAGGTGACTGTGACATCTCACTTTTTGGTGCACTAATATTGATAACATCTCATTCTTAGTGGACTAGATTTGATGAAATCTCACTGTTGGTGCACTGGATTTGATGACACCTCATCGTGGTGCACTGTATTTAATGACATCTACTTTTAGTACACTGGAGTTGATGTCATCTCATTTGATACACTAGTATTGATGACATCTCTATATTGGCGCACTGTATTTGATGACATCTCACTATTGGTACACTGTATGTGATGACATCTTGCTGTTGGTGCACTGGATTTGATGACATCTCATTTGATACACTAGTGTTAATGACATCTCAATGTTGGTGCACTGTATTTGATGACATCTCACTATTGGTGCACTGTATTTGATGACATCTCACTATTGGTGCACTGTATTTGATGACATCTCACTGTTGGTGCACTAGATTTGAAGACATTGTATTGAACAATGACTCCCAAAATCATATTTATTTATCACTGGGAAGGATGCACATATTTTAAAACAAAGTGCGTACAAAGTACTTACTATATATTATGTGTCTACAGAATTTAACTTGAATGAATGTTACTTGTATCATGGTTCTATGGTTGACATAGCTGAGATATGTAGTGATGGACTGGATTTAAGAAGAGGAAAAATTGGATTTTTTGGCAGAGGAATATATTTCAGGTGAGATGATATCATAAATTCATTAGAAAACTACATGTAATATGAATGCACCAACTATAATAATAAGTAATGGATTCAATGTCAAAAGCATCAAATCTCCCCTAGATATCATAGAACATTAAATAAATTGTCACTGCTACAGAACGTTGTGATTTTCACTGACTTTCAAAAAATTTGTCCAAAACTAAAGTGTTTTACACTAGGCCCATTGTTCCAATTGGGATATTGTAATATGGATCATAATATCCAGTTTACATTGTTTCTGGACTGTGTGCTTCTAATATAGTAGGTACAGTATTTTTTATTTTTACTTCATGCCTCTAATACCTTCAGCACATCAGTGTTTTTTCTAAGATTTTTTTTTATTAATGATAGTGTATGAAACACAGTTGTTTGTTGGTCTATCTACTAAATCTTACTGTGTACTGATGTTTTTTTTATTTCAGTGATAATGTAAATAAGTGTATGTTATATTCAGTTAATCCAGACGGAAGCTGTCCATCTAAGTTTCCATATATTCTAAAATGTAGAGTTCTGCTTGGTGATACTAAGGTGAGTTATTCTGAGTGAGTTATTTGTGCTCATTAACATCTTCGTTGATTCTATATTTTTGTTTGGGAGCTAGCATCCATTATCCTTTAGTGTGTTCTTCCTCAGCCTTAGACCCATCTTTCCTTCGGCATTAAAAGTCATATATGTAAACAGTCTTGAGCAAGAATACTGGATACTGGATACAGTGGTATCAAATTGTACAAAATTTGTGAATATTTGCCTTTCATGAAATTAAGGTAGCAGCAGGGTTTAAACACAACTTAAAAAATTAAACTGTGATTGGAACATTCTTTAAAAGTTCCTAAAAGATATAGTATTCTACTGTAACAACCTATATATCACCTGAAAGCTAAAATATAGACAAATACACCTGTGCATAAGCATAAGCAATGTTTAAGGGATTATGTGATGGCCAGTATTGGTATTGTGTTTTTTTTAACTATTCTGACTATTGAAAGCACATGTGATTGACCTGTGAATTACACAAGATATTAGTAACACTGTAGAACAGGCAATTGCATCGCTGTTTTCTTTATCTGGCTTATTTTAAAACTTTAACTGAATAACTACCATTGATTTTCGGTAACATGCCTGTAGTTATCTAGTTTTTGAGTTGGTCAAGCTTTCAGATGGTGTATAGATTGTTAAAATACCGGTAGCATGATTAATTTAAAAAGAGAATGTCTGAATCATAGAACTTTTTTTTGTTATAACAATTTTTTTTAATTTCACACAGGAATATGCCCCTGGAGAGAAAAATCCAGATTTGAAAACAGAACCAATACGAGAAAATCGGTTACCTGGGCAACCAAAGTATTATGATTCTGTGAAGGTAGGTTCAAGTTTTTCATAACTCAGTTACCACAATTTAGATATTGAACAAGGCAGAAGAAAATCACCAAAAATTCTTGTGGATGAAAGATTTTGTGAAAAAAAGTGAAACTAACAAAATTGAAGATTGCATTTTCTTTGAAAATAGAAGAATCAAATAATGCAAAAGTGCATAATGTAAAAACATTGCAGAATTAACTTTAAAAAAAATTATGTTTGTGATCTATGGCGAAATATTTTAAGAACACCAATAATGTGTATTTATTAGTAACTGTTCAGGTGCAAACTAAAAAGGGGAGTATACGAGTTTTTTATTTCCAGTTTCCGTCTGTCCTGTTTCCTTTACATCTCTAACATTTTCTCAGAAATTCTGCAGCAGATATCAATGAAACTTAACAGGTTGATGAACAAGTCTCTGTTGAATATGCGCATAATTTTTTTTCCAAAATCTGAAAATCCTAAGTGTTTTTTTTGTGATTTTCATCCATCCATCCAATTACCTCTTCCAACAACACTGGGAGAACAACTGAGCATGCTCAGAATAAATAGTTCGGTTAGATGGTAATGCTGTAGTTTTCAGTGGCGTCATGACCTTGATTTGAATCAGTGACAGAAATGGACCACAGTCTGGTTTTTGTTTGGTTTTATGAAAAATTAATGCTGAAATCTTGTGGTCAGAAATGTTGTTGTATATTATATCTTTAAACTTTAAAAATTGCATTCCATTATAAAAAGCCATCACTGAAATACCTGGTCACAAAGTTGAAGATCAGTGAAAACACTTCGCAGTTACTGTTTAACAATTTTGGCCAAAGTATTTGATCAAGTTTGATAGAGTGAAGCTCTATAAATATGGAAAGAAGTCACTGAATCAGAAAACAAAAACTAAACATTGTTACAGTAGCTTAGATTCAGACAATAAAAAAATTATGTTATAAGGGTATTTAGCATTTATTCAATAAATGTTGTAAAAATTTTAACATGTTAGAAGCCTGAATGCAATTCACCCTGAGTGATTCTAGAGATAAACACTATATAGCCATGAAAAATTGCCGAAAAGTTTGTAAGAACCCCTCTGGGAAACTGATTATTTATGTGAGCTTTATGTACATAGTTTTGTGGTTGAAATATCTTAAAGGAGAATGTATGAATTATCGTCTATTTTAATTTTTGTAGCTCGTTGTTACCGGGTTGTAGGTTAGCGGTGAAGTGCCACTTTTTATTGCGTATTGTGATCAGCTCATGACAACATACATGGCGTAATGTGATTAGCTAATAAGGTCATTGTCATGACACGTGATTATGTAACCCTAACTCAATGAATAAAAGTACAAGAAACGCATAGCAAAGTCAAAGATACAACATTCATGTAGAACCGTCAGTTACTGTTTGAATTTAAATGTTGCGTTCGCTGACCCTGTATCTTAATTTTTTTATTATCGAATATAGAAAATATGTAAATATAAAACTGTTCAACTTATCCAAATAACAAAATTGAATGAAAATGTAAATTAATTTTTGATAATGTGACTAGAATGTACACCACCGGCTGAACTTCTCCTCAGATGTTCATAATATATGGGAAAAAAATGGCTTCAGCAGGTGAAATTATAAACATAAAAATGCCGAGTTTGCAAGCCAGCTGGTGTGTACATTTCATTCTGGTTAATTTAATCTTGACTTTACAATTGCATATTTTGTCAGACATAATAAGCTAGCTTTATTTGGCAAGATGATTTATAACACACATTGAACTAAGTGACAATAAATGATTTTTGTTCACTGTGTGAATATGCGAAAGGTGAAGACGGAATTTCTGCTGCAAAAATCGAACGACTTGAGTTTGAACTTGAATTCCTTTTTTTCTTTAATTTTTCAATCAGGAATATGGTTCTCATTAAATGTGTACCGGTATAGCACATTATCAAAAATTGAAATACTCTGTTATGATGTCACTATATCACTATGACCTTTCTTTGTCCCATTTTATGTTCGATTTCAGGCATGAAAAATGGAAATTATTATACTAATATTTTATTCTTAATTCCTCCAAGGGTAATATCATGGGAGATGATGAATATATTCTATATAATAACAACAGAGTTATGCCAGAATATATAATCACTTATAAGCCAACTACAAGGAAAAACAACACCAACCAAAGCGCCTCAGTTGAGACAACATCCAAGTTAAACAGCACAACTTCTGAAAATATAGCAACAAACAGTGTCTCTGTTTCAACTATTGTTGATGCTAGTGCAAAAAAAGAAGTTTCCATAACAACCATCCAGGATGAAGTTGCTGAAGAAGTGTCCAATGAGCTATGGATGTTTAATCAAGATGACGCTATCTCAGCAGAAGTTGAGGCTAGTCTTTATCCTGTGCAGAACGAGGACCTCTCAGCTGAGCTTAGTTATAATGCCTCATCCACTGAGGGTGCAGGGGGACCCCCTGGAGCATCCTCCAGGGCACAAAATGAATCAGCTGTTGGTAATTCAAAAAGACTTGTCTGGGATGTGCAAACTGCTGATGAACATGACCGCAAACTAGAGGAAGTCAGAAAACAATTGAGATCAAAGAATAAAGGGGGCAGTTTAAGTTCCAATGTGCAGAGACAGACATCTGCGTCTGCTCTTCCCTTATCACATGATGAGAAACTAGAAGAAGTAAGAAAAACACTGAAGAAAAAGAAGAAAAAAAAAGCCACCAAAGATGAGGTATTTATTATACTTATGTCATTGCTCAGAAAGCACCATGGTTGCTTGAACCTAAGTTACTGTGAAATATTTTATTTTTGCTTGGAATTAATTTTCGCTGAAGGAATGATTCAATGAAAATAAAATCCAGCAAATATATCTTTTTTCTTGTATTTCACATTTTACAATAAAAAATCAGTGAAAATAAATTCCATACAAAACACCCAAAATTAATTCCAGCTAAAATACGGTAAATTATTTTACAGTACCTTGAGTTTGATAGTCTAATGTATGTATACCTTTTCCATATCACTGTAGATGAAGTGTCAGTCCCCATTGTTGTTGTCATTGACTTGTTCTTATGGTTACAATAACTCAAACAATTTCTTTCAAACTTGAGTATTGTATTAACCAGTTTGCAATTTTGGTATGTGTCAAATAAATAGTAAAGTATAGTAAACTGATGTGTTGTTAGGAGTATAAATAAAAAATGATGTTCTGTGTTTCTCTGCCCTTTTCAAATCTGGCTGGTATTTTAGCTTAGACACAGTCCCTCTGTAGACCTGTCTGGAAACTGACCATATTTCTTTGAAACAGTGCTCGTCGCGGGTAAATAAACGATTCCCACCTGCAGATTAGCGTGCATATCATTAGCATTGTCCCAAAGGGACTGTAGCTTAGATATTTTGATGTACTATTATTCGTTCAGGAACTTTTATAATTCATCTTATATTATTCTATGAGGGACATTGAGATTAATATTGTACATGTAGTACTATTTTAGGAACATGAATATTAATTCATTTGATACGTAATAGTGGTACTGGTAGTGTTATATTGCATTGTATGATTGTAGTCATGACAACCTGTTGTTTGTGCCTAGGCAAGTGAGTCATTGTTCCCAAATGAAACTCCCAAAAGAGAAGCTTACAGACGAAAGTGTGTTCAAGCATCTGATCATCAAGTTGATGAAATTCGAAAGTATTTGAAAAGTCATCATTTACGATTACAGCAGCAAGGAGCAGATGACCAAGCTTTGAACAAGGTCTGTATACATTGTCATCTGCTCTCTGAGATCACTCCTAGAGCTGTCTATAATGATTGCCAAAAATTGGATGTGCAGTAACTCAATGAAAGTTAGATGTTTAGTACATATTCCCCACATTTCATACAAATTTACACCAATAAATATTTCACTAAAGAGTCCCAAGACACAGCCTGCCGTCACATTTATTGTCTTAGATATAATAATGTTATTATGGATGCATGTGATTGTACAATATGGAGATGGTGGGAAAATTTGCTAACAAGTTTGAATAATAAAAGTTTCCATTCATCCCAGTCAACAGAAATAGCTACCAAGTAATGATAAATACATCGCATCGTATTTTATTCACCTTGTACAATCTTGAAAAGAAAAATAATAACATTCACAGATACCCAGAAAGTCTTGGCCATTTTGAAATTTATATATTGTGTGTGTGCACAAAGACTTACTCCGAAAATAATGATATATTCATGCCAATATTTGCAAATTTTCTGTAATAACCTCTTTATTCATGTGTAATTTTGTAGTCCTATTATGATACTGACTATAAAAACACCCCCCCCCCCAAAATTAAAAAAATTTGATTAAAATTCCCTGAAAACTAGAACATTTTGGACAGAACTATTTGTTGAAAGTTTCAAAAATTGATGAAAGCAGTAAAAATTATACCATAACAATTGATCAAGATAAATATGAGTGGATACAAAATCACGTTACTTGAGGTTGAATTACAGGGTTGTGGTCACTGCAAAGCACACGTTAACATTTTGTGTGGACATACAACTTACACATACATCGCATGAGACCCTTATCATACATGGCATGACATGGCAGTCATATGCCTTAATGCATTTTATGACAACAGGTTGAAAACCTTCTAATTGCTTACTCTGAGACGTATGGTTCAATCGACGACCCGGCCTCTGCACCAGTACCTGCTGTCCTTACTCCTGACACACCGCCTAAACCTATAGGAAGAAAACATGGTAAAAAGAAACCAGAGGAAGAGGAGGAGGAAGATGAAGAGGAAGAAGAAGAAGAAGATGAAATACAGGTAGCAGAAACCATAGATGATACATCTGAAAATCTTCAACTCTTCACTGCTGATGATGATAATGTGATTGATAAAAGTGAGTACATTTGGTTTATATCTAGTGTACTTCATTGCATCAAACTTTATAGAAAGATAGATGAAGATCTCAGAAGTTCAGATAAAAAATTCAGGTTTTTTTGCCATTGATATTCTACATTGTTGTTAATGTAGCAGGATTATGTTTAAGGCGGGGGTGTCGTCACCTGCGCATGCGTCAGATGGCCATAGTGTGTCATTGTTTACTAACAAGCGTCTACCTACGAGCCTTTGTGTTTTTAGCGTGTGTTGTTATTGTCGCTTGGGACTCAATTACCAACAAAATGACCCAGTAACTGCTATTTAGTGTTACCACGTTTTACTTGCATTTACGATTTATTAATGTCTACACATAATAGCGACATCACATAAAGCTGGTGTGTTCCCGTTGCATAAACGATATTCAACAGAAATCAGCGATTGTAACTTTAATAACTACCAGTAATTTATCTTTCGACTTGAAACCTTGTGATTATTTTTATTTATTGATAGTTCATTAGAGTAAGTTTGTCTCACAGTAATCTGGTACTTGTTGTGATAAAGATATTGACATAAAAAACACGCACAACTAACTGCTTTATATCCTACTGGTTACCATTCTCAGGATTATGAATACCACTGTCACCGTGCATGAACTAATAATTGCCAATGAGTAATTTAAACTCTTTGTTGAGCAGACATGAGGTTATTACGGGAATTACACAAAATATGCACAAAGGCATTCCTCTACTGAGTGCATATTTTGCGGTATTTTTGTGATACCCTTGTTATTATAAATCATTCTCCTGCTAGTAGAAATAAAAGTCCAAAATAACAACAAAAAACGTTATGGGTGGATTCTATTTCCATCCCATATTATAGCGCTCTGCATCTAATGTAAACAAAAAAAAGTGAACAAATGATTGTAAAAGTGACGCACATTTTCCAAATGAGCTAGACATTCAAAAGCAATACGTTTAGATTATGAATAATCATTATCCAATTTTTCAAATCCAAAAAATGTTTTTTCCCTTTATTGCATATTTAAAAGTCAACAATTATTGCGCGACTTTGCCCTAGAAAAAAACATTTTATGAACGTGAAGAGCAATGTGGCTTTTTCTGTTGTGAAATTTATTCTTATTTTCAAATTCTTGTTCTACTGTATGTTCTCAAATTTCTAGGTGAATACGCAACTCAATCAACAACAAACGCTTTGACTGGAATACGCTCATTTCATAGCGTGGTAGAAGATGATCCTGTGAAACAAGTGATGGACTCCCTGGTAGCACAGTTTAAGGAGTGTACTGGAGAGGACGATGATGATGTAGCCAAGGAGTATATCAAAAATGCTCAGATGGATATAAATGAAGCTGTACTGAAATACATTACCCAGTAGTGTTGCTGTGTGCACATGTAGAGATTGACACACTGCTACAGCAGGCATTGATGAAAACCTGTTTCCTAGGAACATTGATGACGCTTGTTATGACTTCATTTTGTACAATCATCTACAGGAATTGTTGTACCTCACAACATATTTCTGCCAGCCAGTAACCCTCAGAGATTAATATTATACATTTCAAAATCATAACATACACCACTGGTGATGTTCCTACGAGTATGTTTTTACCTTGCCCATACCATCAAAGATATATTAAGGGACAAATTTCTGTCTGCCGTTGTCGTTGACGTCGTTGGCAATTATTTTGGTAATCACAGGTATATACATATATATATATATAGCCAAGATTAAGCATATTGCACTTTTTGGGACAAGATATAAGATATAATTTTTCACACTTGTTAACATGTACATATTTCTTAAAGATACTGTGGACTTGTGTGATATTATATTCATATGTTTTGTCTGTCATCTAATATTTTACATTATATATATTTTCTGAAACTCTCATTCCAAATATTATAAAAATCAGGACTGTAGGTCATTAATTTTCACAAAAAAGCTTGAGAATTATAAGTATAGAAGATAGCTATTCATGTCGGTCTTACAAAATACATTTTGTAGTTACTACCAAAATACGCCTTGTGAAAGCCTACACAAAAAATGGTGTCAGCATTTGATGCATTAAGGTAGATAGATACCTTAGCTCAAAAATGATTTACTGATTTTTGAAGTGCTTAAATTTATGACTGTTTTCCTGCAATCAATCGGTGATTTGATTTTGAACTCTAATTTCTTTTTTCGTAGCTCACATCGAAAGGCCGATCTTTGACAGGGGAATATTCCGTTAGAATACCCTTACTTCATCAAAATTGACCATCATCAAATGTGTACAGCACATTATTAAACATAGAAATATCCCCCAAAATAATTTTGTGTTTGTCTAATCGCACGTTGTCGTTACGTTGTGTAAGCTAATTAGTCATTAAACATTACTCGCTGTCCTTGTTTTCTAAGAAATATACACAATCAAATAAAACATTGAATGCATAGTGGCAGAAAGTTGTTTTCAAGGCTTGTTTTTTCCCCATTATTCTCACTGCTATACATGCATTATAGCTTACTTCGGTATTTCAGTTACCCATATTTGGAGTAAAAACAATCAACCACCTGACCAGAGACTGAACATACCACAACAAGTGCTGTGATGTCAGCAAGGTATTGATATACATGCAAATACTGTTCCCAAAATAAACATTTTCAGTTTTAGCTGTAGTTTTATTGTTTTTGTACGCATATATATATATATACATACCGGTATATAGTATGTTAATTAGCTAACACATGGTGACCAAATTACATGCAAAGGCAAAGGCATTTAACAATTTAATATATACTGATATATTTTATTGAAAACAGCAGTTTTTAAGAAGATCAATACTTCTGGAAATGAACCCTAATTTTTGGAGCTAACAAAAAAAATTTGGCAAATTATAATTTTCACTTTAAACATTAGCCTATTTTTGTATCAATATTCTAAAGAAAAGTGCAGACTATAAACGGTATTAACTGGTGGTGAAAAGGTTAATATGGTATCATAATTATTCAAGCGGATAAAAGGGTTTTTATGAGCGAGTGTATCAATACCGGTATGAATAAATGTGATACAAACTACAGTCACATGTATCACAGTGGTGATGAGAAAGTCTTGCCTATAACTTGATTTCAGAATTTTGTTTGCTGGTATGCAAGAAATAAAGGCTTTCTTTTAACGTTATACAACTGCGCTTTCTTACTCTGTTTGGACAAACAGTATTATCTTATTAAATAATACAATGAAAGCATATTCCTTAAAATTTCTTTATTCATTATTATAAATGTATTTCCATGTAAGGCAATAAATACACATTAAAAACTTTCTGCGAACTGGCTGTTACATTTGTATAATTATAATTTGTATGTCTTAGGAAAAGCATGACAGATTCAGAACAAAAAGTTAGTACACTTTGATGTTGCCATTTACAATGAATGGATCTAGTTTTAAATTGTGAAATATTGACACCTAGTATGAGTAGGTGTGTACTCTGAAATGTCACGTTTTGACAGGCTTCCTGTATTTGCACTGAATCCATACACGGTACATGGTTAACTGACGACCTCTGTTCACTTGCAGTCTTCTATCTATTGTGTTTTGTTCTTCTATCAAACCAGCCGATGTCATCATTTCTCGTAGTTCATCTAAAATAATAAATACAATAAATTGGATACAAGTACAGCACACATTTAGAAATGTTGTTGATTGCTGTCCCCAGATATAAAAAGATAAATAAGTATTTCTAGATATGTGTTCAACCAGACTAACCTGACACTGCATATATCAATGTAAGACTAAGGTAGAAATGGTGACTGGGGTACAAAGTTACATTGAAATAAAGGAATGCAAACTTGACTGGAAATTAATTTTTCTAGTTAATTTTTCTAGAAGATTTGACAGTTGTAATTTGTCATTTTATTCAAGAAGTTCAAAACAGAGACTAATGTTGTTAGAAGTATGTATTGTCATGCTATTTTATCGACAATCTTCAATATATTATTCTGCTTTGAAACTTGTGCAATAAGTCAATAATTTTGTAAAAAATATTTTGAAAATTCAAGAACTACAGAAAATACAGAACTATGCAAGAGTCACCTCCATATTGTGAATCTTAGTGATGTTGCCCCAATAACTATCAAAATTCGCCACCATAACATGAATAATCGAGGGTAGCCTTCATAACGTGAACTATTGAGAGTCACCTCCATAACGTAAACTATCGAGAGTCACCTCCATAACGTAAACTATCGAGAGTCACCTCCATAACGTAAACTATCGAGAGTCACCTCCATAACGTAAACTATCGGGAGTCACCTCCATAACGTAAACTATCGAGAGTCACCTCCATAACGTAAACTATCGAGAGTCACCTCCATAACGTAAACTATCGAGAGTCACCTCCATAACGTAAACTATCGAGTCACCTCATAACGTGAACTATCGAGAGTCACCCCCATATCGCGAACTATCAAGAGTCACCTCCATATCGCGAACTATCAAGAGTCACCTCCATAACGTGAACTATCGAGAGTCACCTCCATATCGCGAACTATCAAGAGTCACCTCCATAACGTAAACTATCGAGAGTCAGCTCCATAACGTAAACTA